AAAAACACTATCATTGTCATTTAGCAAAGATTATACAGAAATTAAGATGGATTACATGAAAGGGAATTTTTTTATGGTGTAGTATAGACTAGTAGATGAATCCACCTCCACTGCCTCCGAATCTACCACTGCTTCCGAAACCGCCACTTCTTCCAAAACCGCCTTCACTGCCTGTGAAACACCAACAGCGCCACCTCTGAAACCTCCAGCGCCTTTTCCCAATCCACCACTGGCACCTCCTCCAATTACTTGACCGCTGCACTCAAGGTGTTTAGAAGGTCAACATCTGGAGTTGGTAACGTGTTGTACCGCTGATACGTATGGTGTCAAGACAGACTTTGCACTTATCGCGTGGAGTAACACATCTGTTAGCATGCAACACTTGTCTAGAGCCACATGTTCTTGAGACATAACTTGGTCTATCCAAGTTTTAGCCGTGAGGAACGGCTAAAGTCACGACAATTGTAGCGATTAAAACATTTAACAAATAAATTAGTTAATACGACGACCCTCGTATGAAATAGATTCGAGGGAAGACAGTTGCTCTGTCAGTATGTTCGTTTCACATTTTCTTTTAACGACAGCTTGATATATCATGCTTAACAAATTGGCCTTTCTTAAGAAGAGCTTCATGGTGAGGTTATACTTTCTTCTTCTTGAGTGACTGCTTTTATGGACTTGATTTGCTTAGCTCTCTTCAGTGCCATCAAAACTTGCTCTCCGGGTCACCTCTTCCCTGCCCCGCTTGCTTTACGTTTTACCTCCCCCAGATCTAATTGTTTTCCACACTTTGTATATTCTGAACTCCCGGGTGACTCTTTCTTGTTACTATTCCTCACATAAATATGAATATAAATGGTAGGTTAAAATATCCTTGGACGAACCACTGGTTCTGAAGGGAAATAAGTTACATTAAACACCAAGCTATAATGGTAGCAGTAGGAAGGGTTCCCGAGTTTATCTTTTTTTCTGAGAAGAGTTTGAAGCACTAACGTCCTCTACGAATTCAAGGTTGATAATAACAAGAGTACCTAAGTATGGTTTTTCGGCAAAGCTTGTAACAAGTCCTTGGTTCGCGCCAGGACAGTCCACCACAAGCCAATTATATACCGAGGTCAAACCCAGCCTTAGTCTGTAGGCTCTACTATGAACATGTCCCTAACGTGTACTCGGATATGGGACCATTTCTGAGGTGAGGACACCGATTCCAAGGTCGTGCTTTGTTGGGTAAATTTCGCAAATCTCCACGTTACATAACACTAACTTTTATGTGCAATTTATAAATTATATTATATTAAGAATAACACACACACACACACGTGTGTGTGCGTATGTGTGTGTGTTACAATTCGCATTGGGACCAGTTTCAAAACTCTCACATTAGACGAATAAACCACCGTTTATATTGTAAAACCGTAGAATTTTTTTACACAGGAAAAGCATATTTGACTTTATATGTTTTATTAAAAGAATATAAACATTCTAGTTATTAAGTAATTGTACGGAAATATTGTGTCCTCTCTACACACCACAATTAAAGAAAAACGGAGAGGGGTTATACGTATAGTAGGATATATATCTACATATCATGGCGTTGTATAAAGACTAGGAGGCAATGACACTGAACCAGAGCCTCCGCTAAATCCAGCACCACCGCCGAATCCACCACTACCTCCGGAACCACCGCCGAAACCTCCAGCACCGCCCCCGAAGCCCCCGGCGCCGCCTCCGAAGCCTCCAGCGCCGCCCCCAATGCCCCCGGCGCCGCCTCCGAAACCTCCAGCGCCGCCTCCGAAGCCTCCAGCGCCACCCCCGAAGCCCCCGGCGCCGCCTCCGAAACCTCCAGCGCCACCTCCGAAGCCTCCAACGCCGCCTCCGAAGCCTCCGGCACCTCCTCCAACCACTTGACCGCCGCCCTGGGAAGCTGCACTCAAGGCACTCTGGAGATCAACACCGCTGGGAAGAACTGGGTTCTCGCCGTCAGCGTAGTTCACGAAGTAAACTTCAGGACTGGTTGCTGGCGGTGCTGGGACTTCGATCACATCCTGTTGCTCTGGCGTCTGTCTATTCAGGACATAGACGACGCTTCGCTGTTGTGGTGGAGGTATGACAATAGGTTCTGGTCCTGGACCTTCTTCGGGTGTTTCGATGAACACGATGTTTGTGTCTATGGTTGGCTCAGGGATGTAAGGTGGTGGACCATAGGGAGCTGGTGGTGCGGGTGGAGCATTGTACAAGTACACTTTGCGGTTGACACGCGGGGTAACACACCTGCCATCAACGTGTAACACCTGCCCATGACCACAGCCTCTCGGGATATAACTCGGTGTACTCAAGTAACTACTCTGGGGAGCGGCCGATGATGCGGCCACAACAGTTGTGATTAAAACCTGCAATATTGAGATACTTGTAAATTAAAATTATATAAACGTATAAAGAATAGCGAAGGAAAGAAACAGAACGATTTGATGTCACTCACTGTCGTCACGTTCACTTTTGT